AGTTTTAAGCTTGTTTATGACAATTCTTACAAATGAGCAATATGAAATTTGGCTCTTATAAAAGTATACCTCTACTCGTATTTGTGAATTCCCTGAAAGTTTTACTGGGTTTCTTCAAAATATTGTCTTGTTTAATCACGTTTTTGAAATTCTAAAATCTCAATTTGTTCGTTTTTTTTTTTTTTCAAAATCCCAAAATGTCCTTTTTTTCTCGCAAACTATTTATGCGGCGTTTATTTCAAGAGGTTTTTCTTCTCTCAATTGTCAGATATATGCTAGATGAAGTATATTTTACATTTTGATTAACATAATTATTTTAATATCGTTCAGCGACCATTTCAGAAACGTTTCCCATCGTACTTTAAAACGCATGATATTCAGAAAAATGTGCACTGCATAGACGTTTTGCAAAATTGTACAATGAAATTATTAGGATTCGAAATAATTCTGAACCTTTAATTGATTAGCAATAGTTGTCACTTTTCTCAGTTGCTTAATTGCAGGGTATACTGCAGATCAGTTGTTGCAGCTTCTGCATTATGTTTAAAGAAACTTCTCTTAATAATGACGTGTACCTTGTCGACAACTAAGTATGAGCCCAGCCTCTAGGATTTATTAGTGGTTTTGTGTTTTGTTTCAGTTCTCAAACAGTGGGCATAGTAGTGAGTGTCAAAGGAAGAAATGTGTACATTTTATCCATGTATGACAAGATCATTGAAGTAAAACCACAATCATTGCAAAAGAAAGGCGGTCGCGGATTTGTTTTTGCACCAGACGTCAATTCTAATGCTGTCCAAAGGCACGATTATGTGAAGGTCATTGATGGTCGTCACACGGTAAGTCGTCAGCTCTTAAAGTAATTTTAAATGTTTACCAATTACCACCAGATAATTCGGTTAAACTAAAAAGAACATACTTAGTGAGACAAAAGTTTCACGTTTGTACACTTTATTTCATCTAGCACTTCCAAGTTCAACACGTTTCAATAAGTGCTTCAATTACGTTTATGTAGTATTTAACTTTAAATAATACACCACATCGATTATTTTATTTAATTTAGAGTTTTACAAGTATGGAAACTAAAGTCATTCATGTGTCCCTAGGGTCGTAACGGAGAAGTGAAGTTCTTGTTTGGCGAGTACGCCTTCCTGTACTCCAACCTGTACGAGGACAATAGAGGGTACTTCGTGTGCAAAACGCGGCAGGTTTTGCTGGCCGGCGCACAGGTACCCATGCTTGTATTCTGCAAATTGAGGTGTAAACTACCTAACCGAGATAAAAACTGGGGTTCAAGCGAAATCAAAATCAAATGTAATAGATCTTTGTTTTATTTGGAATGGGGTAATTGTGGTCACTTCCAGTGATTTGTATCCTTTATAGAATTTGTGAGTGGAAGTCCTTCAAGTTACTTCCAATGAAGTTTTTCGAAAACTCGTGAAATTTTCTGTGAAACAGAACTTCAAATTTTGAATAATATGAACGCTTAAACAACTTTCTTTAAAAAAAGATGGAACATTTTCAACGGTAATCTTCATATATGATGAGATTTTACTTTTCTGTAATATCCTTAAAGTAATATTTCGGTTTTACTATTAGGAAAATAGAAAAATTTAGAAAATTAAAAAATACATACTGGGAATGGCATCTGGGGAGAGGATGGAGTAAGACCAAACAGCCAGCCCAGACCCAGGTCTGGCCATTCTGTAGCACCACTAGTTAGTTTCTTCAATACGCAACATATCTAACAATTCATAGTTGTTATAAAAATATTTTAAACAATTATTTTAGTAATCGAAATTATGTTTAAAGTACTCAAGTTGCAATGTCGATGATTAATTATAAATATATCATTATAATACCTGTAATTATTTAAGGTTACCACCACACCAAAAAAAGAACTGTTGGAGTTTCCCAGATCCATGATACTGTAACAAGTTTCCTTTCTTACAGTATCATGGATCTGATATACTCCAACGGTTCCTTTTTTTGGTGTGAACGTACAACTTTGTCCAGATGAGAATCAGAAAATGCAATGATGAACGATTCCATTAACCCAGTGTAAAATGTATTTTTTGTACCTCAATTCCATTTTATGATACTCGCTGATTTGCCATGTGCAATGGATGCATACTTTAAAAGCATTATGATGCTATTCTTATGGAGTTTTAACCCTAGAACAATGTACAGACCAATCATAAAAGAATAATTCATATTTTTCTAAATAATTATTGAAAGAATACCATACCACTTTCAAGCATCATCTCTCTCTATTTATCAATTTGAAGGATGCAAAGTTACAGCTCAAATGAATATTAATGACCGTAAATTTGAGATCGTACCTTCGAGGTTATTCCAACACGTTTCCTCTCCCTATTATAATACAGGGGGAAAAGTAGAATATTCTGGTATTTCAACATTCTGCTGTACTCTTAAATATCCTCTAATCATAAGAACCAATATCACATAAGTAGGGGGCGGACTTTCATGGCCTGAATCATCACCAAAAAGGATCAATAAAATGCCCTAAAAGCAAAGAAAAATTACGTAAAAAGTCTGATTGAAACCAGTTCAGATGAACAACTCAATCTGTTCTATATGTTAAGTATTTTATTATTGTAGGCTTCTTCCGAAAGGAAGAACGAAAGTTCAAGTGAACTCAACTTGCAAACTTTGGATTGGCCTGTTCATTAACAGTAAATCTCTGCCTTTAATATCCTCAAATCGGCCGCACCGACAATGACGCTGATAGGCGTCCAAGGAATCTTAGATCTCATTCAACGTATATTACAATTACTGAACGAAGAAATCGAATAGGCTACACAGAAATTCTCTGGAGAACATTTGTAAATTATTAAACGGATTATAAAAAGTAAGTATGTAAATATTATTTGAAACAAGTACAATTAAAATTATATTAAAATTGATGAAATCGACGAAAAATGCAAACAAGTATCATCTTAAAAGGTTCATTTCCTTTTATCATGACATAAAATTATTGTATATAATAAAAGGCATTTTTTCTAAATTGACAAAAAATGACATTTCATTAAAATTCGCCCCCTACACCTGCGTTGAAAACAGAAAATCGAATTTAAGACACTGCATATTAACACACATTACCGTACACCCTGCGCTTAGCGAAGCACGAAAATGGCAGGTGAGAAAACTGCCCTTTTGATAGCCTTGTGCTGAAGGGCCGGCGTGGGTTGTGTTGAGCGTAGGAGGAACTGGTGCCGAACGGACGGGTGACGAACGCCGCGTCACCTCGGGCTGTGCGGCGTGGAGGCAGCGGAGGTGGTGGAGGCTGGCCGGGTGGCCCGTCCCGGGACACCACCCTCATCGGCAAGACCGTCCAGATCGTCAGAGGCAACTTCAAAGGTACGCGCGCTGGCGGCCTACGTCGCAAGGGGGCAATTCGAAGGCACTTTCGAAGGTTACCGTGCGGTTGAACAAGACAATCTTTGAACGGCTTCGAGCTGGGGAAAAAAGAACCGCATCTTATTCTTATTACTTCATTTACATTCACTCCGAATGCTTCAGTTTCATCCATTTAACCTTATCCATTCATCCTGACTATGTAGTGATGGAGCAAGACAATTTAAGTCCATTGACGAAACTTACGTTCAGAATCTCCGCCTCCAAAAATAAAAAAAAATAAAAATTTCAAATTTTGTGCATTAATGAACTACTTTACCGGTTCTTAAAAATCGTGATAATTTAAGTTCTAAATTCTTTTTCACTCTTATCAACAATCAGGACCTCGGGCGATCGCCCTGTCGGCACATTCCTACTAGGACGTAACCATAAAATACGGAGAAGGACAGTAAAAACGTAGAACATACGACATCAGGAATAAATCATCCGTGTGAAAAGGTCCACGGAGCTCGCGCACGATGCCAGATCCCACGTTTCAGGCTGCCTCTCCCACAACTTTGTCTTCCACGCCTAGCTACTGTGAGAATGGCATATGAGTTTATTCTCAAGATTTGGGTGGCAGGATATTCGGCACTAGCTTGTCAGCTACATCGAATTTAGTCGCTGTCTGGAGGAGAATTCTAGCGGCCGGCCGCTTTGATCAGTAGTTTTCCGTGATTTCTCCGATCAATACTAGACGAATGACAGAGCAGTACCCTAACAAACCGGCCACGGACCGCGCGCGACCTCACCTGCCTCTTGTCCTTTCCTCACCCTTTATACACACTCACCAACACGCACTACGCCACCACACATGCCGGAAGATCTGTCAGGAACTAAGAGCTTGTCCCGGGTGGGGCGGTGCCACGCTGGTGGGACATATCTGGTTGGGGAAAACCCACTATCCGAAGGCAGGTCGGCCCCAGATCTCGCCATACGGCGGGGGAAAGATCACCGTCACTTCTCGAACAAAAAAACATGCATTACACTTACGGGACTAATGACTCTGGTAGTTTACGCATCCACAATTACTGAACAATCAATCAAGATTTTGGGTTCAAAGATTTGGCCTATTGGGGTCCCATTTACGATGCACAGAAGGAATTGAAGTGTGATTACACTGTATTAGACTATTCCAGAAATAGGAAAGTGCAGGTTTTGGAACATTATTGAAAATTTTTGTCGTTATTTTCTGTATCTATCACTTTCTCTAAAACCGTTTTGAAGGTAGGTGTAGAAGCTACAATGTTGCCATCAGATAGAAGTTCGGTTCACTGACTTGAGTAATTTGCGCACAGAGAGCGTTCGCTGACAGGTTTTTCAGCGAACTATTAAACATTTCGCACGAGTTATCTGTGCACTCGACAGTGCGAGCGAGTCATTTGAGATTGGAGACTCGCGCCTGCGCAGAAAACCCATCCACGCATACAATCGCTGTTCAGAAAGCATCTGGTAGAGAGAGTCAAACTATATATCGGAATTGACCAGAAATTTGTTGAAGGAATTCAAGTCATCTTCATCAACTTAACAGTTGGCGAGGGTGATTTCAATTATGTCATCAAATTTTTTCAGGGGAGACCAATGCCTCACCCCATTTCCTCATAATTGAAGGGAATGAGTTAAATATTTAACAACATTAAACGAGACTATTGTTCTACGTATTGTATGTATTTTAGTGTTCTTTATTGTATTAGATGTATAACAAATGTGAAGAATTTGCCACCGGGCGTAATGCCCAAAGCAAATTAAGTAGATTATCTACCTATCTACATGTTTTTGGCAATAAACTTCAATTATTTTCAGCAAGTTTATATTAAAATATGTTCTTATTCTGAGGTATAGCATAGGCATGGATATATTGAACATTTTTTATACTTGCTGTTCTTCTGGGGAAATGCAGATGAGAATATTATTTTTTTGAAGAATTATTTCAACATTCACAGTGGTTATGCTAACAAAAGAGTGGAATCTACATCGACAGATATTAAAATAAGATTCTAACATAATTATGGGTACGTCTAGGTCTGGTTGTTCAATAGCATAGTAGTTTTCACGAACCGATTGCGCATGGCGACAATTCCAATTTTTTATAAGCAATCGTAGAATGTCGAAACTATTCCTTAGGGTAAAGAAAACATTTAAAAATAAAACCTAAACGAAGAAACGGTAACTATTTACCTAAATAATGATGGTGAAAAAATACTACGCTGGGATCTATCCATTGTATCCTAATTGGTAATACCGTGAAAACTTTGTATAACAATATAAATTATGTGTGTACCATCAGATTCTCGAAATACAACTTCGTTTACACTGAACTAATAAATAAAAGAAACTAATAAAAGAAAAGTCATGTCAGAAACTTTGTCTAGGTGCAATGTACTCGTTCAGAGTGGAACTTGAAGTAAACACTTTACCTTATCTGCAGTGCCTACGTGCAGACCACTTGGTAGTACGAATACCACATTACGCTATCTTACACTCGTATAGGGCTTCTTCATGGTCCTTCAAACTGTCCGATCTTGACATGCTCACAAGAAATAAATGTTAATGCTCTTAGAAAACCTGCGATATAAAAGAGACAACAAGTTCTACTGGCATACAATAACTTTCCTAACAATTATTGAAACTCAATTGAAAATCAACTCGTGGCAATCGCAATTCATAATTCACTAATTGTTTCATGTTTTAAAATACTCGTTCTTCCCATGCCACGAAAAAGGTTTGGCGTGCTCACATGCTAATTAATCCATATTCATGTTTCAGAATTAAGAAGAATTGAAAACTTAATTGCTAGTTCCGCTGCTCCTTGCCAAAACACAGTATATGAAGTAGCAATTATTTTGAGAAAAGAAAGTTACTATGTTGTTCTCTGGTCTAAAGTATGTAGCTAGCTAGAGAAAACATTGAAATTACGAATAATACATTCACAATGAAATCTGATTTGAAGGTGTACCTTTATGCAATAGTCCACAATCTTACTTACAACGCATTTTTGAAAATAATGTTAGTTATTGTTAGAGATGGTAGATTTTGGCAATTGCTAAAAATGCGAAATGTTACCAAACGTTGAAAAAATTAGTAATTCTATGTTTGACGTTCAGTGCAGTATATTTCTGAAGGTTTTCAAACTGAGATAAAATGCGAAATCACATACAAAGTGCGAAAACGTGAATGTGCGATATAATTGCTTTCAATGGCATTTTATGGTTTCCTTCGTGTTCGCTCTCTAACTAGGAATGCCACATCAATGTTAGAAAACATTTCGTTTGAGAGTGAACTTGTTTATTAATTTATAATTAAGATTTAACTGACAAAACGAAGTAAAAAATAACATTTAAAAAACTGATCCTGAAAGCATAAGCACTGAAGATCCGTTCAAAGGGTCTCAGCGTCCTCGCTTCAATGCACAGAGAAGATATCACAGGAAGGAGAGGAGATCGATACACCTACGCTTCTTATTTTTTTTTTATTTGTTGGAGTTCACAAGTGGCGGAGTATTAAATTAGATTTTCTGATTTTAATGGAAAAATCTGAAGAGCATCCAAATAAATTTATCTCAAGCAGCCCTCCCTTAACAATTTTCTTATCAAATGCTACAAAATGCTAAATTTTAATTTTTATAATGCTATAGCCTTGTTTTCAAAAGGCGATTTTTCTTACATTTAAAGTGCTAAATTCTACCATCACTAATTATTGTATTTTGGTGAGGAAAAGTAGAGTTGAGTTTATAGTTCAATAATCCATGCTTTCGCAATAAGATAGTCAAGTTTTAATAAATTGTGTGTCAAGTGCGCAATAACGCCCCTTCTGTCGAGGCGGGTGGTTGGTTGACGCGCGGGGGTTGCGCAGGCAGCGTGGGCGTGGTGCGCGACGCGACGCAGCGCGTGGTGTGGGTGGAGCTGCACGCGGGCTGCCAGAGCATCGCCGTTGACCGGGCGCGCGTGGTGTGCGTGGACGTCCGCCCGGCCACGCCCTCGGCCGCCACGCCCTTCACCGCGGCCTCCACGCCCTGCGCCACGCCCTTCTCCACGCCCGGCACCACCCCCTGCGCCACGCCTTGCGTCACACCGTGTGCCACGCCGCTCTACCGGGAAGGCAGCACCACCCCCTACACTACGCGTGAGTGTCTCTAGGCAGCATGGCGCCTCAAAGCGAGCGTGTCTCCTTTCGTGGCATTTCGCCCGACGCGGCGGGACGAGGTTTATGATGAGAGCCCGGAAGTTCAAGTATTTATTTTACGTAAAATAGGAGGCATACATTTTTACTAAAACAGACATGCAAATAGGCATTTATTCTAGCTAAATTAGAAGTGCAAGAAGGCATGTAAACTATAAAAAATCATATTTAAAAGGAATTGATGTAAAAAAATATTAATAAAAATGATTCATATTTTAAATCGAACTCAAATTCTGCATTGGCACTTACGGGCTAAGGAAACGTTATTTTCTTCATAATCTTAATCTACATGACCATCCTGTACGATTGCTGGGAATTTGTTTTATTCGCGTCTCTGTCTTTTGAAGTACTATTGTGGACTCCCTTTTGAAAACTAAATTATATTTTTCCTTCTTCACACTTGTGTAATAGTCGGCTTTGAGAAGGGTTTATCATCTACAGAGAGCTGTCCTTAAAAGGGATCGGAGGCCATACTCAAAACGAGGATGGAATTCTACCTGAGCGAACAAACCCAGTCGGCATCAGTGAGAAAAGTCGCTGCTTTCCGGAGCGCGATTACAGTACTATTCTTCTTACGTTAGAAAGTTCGAGAAAGTGAAAATCTTGACTGATATCGTCTTTCTTTTCCATTTAGATTTTTAAGACCTATACTTCCAAGGAAAGACAAAACACAATCGTTTCTTCATGTTTTCCAATTTTGCAGGTACGTATCCTGTTTGATCGCAATCGGTGCCAGGAGAAAACAACTGCAAAATAGTGAGGAAAAGGGCACAAATAAGACAAAATGTCAAAAATAGGAGCGATAATCTACTAAAACAACTCCAGCAGTGCAAGTGATTACTATTGTTAAAAGCCAAATGTCATAAAATAGTAACAATAACAAAAAGGCATTTTGCCAAACTTCCGGGCTCTAATTACGATTTTTGTACTTTCTGGTTTATTCTGACCTCATAAATTGTACCAAATGTTGTTGTTCAAAGAAGAAAATTATGTATTTTCAGTTGTATGATATAGATTGCATTAAGAGTCTTGCAAAGCAGATTGGCATTAGCACATTATGTAATTTGGTGAAAATTATGTAAGATAGTTAAAAGTAAGTTGATTGTTTCTATTCAAGTAAAGTAGCCAAACCTAACTGGTTTCATTTTCAGTTTTTAACCTGCATACAAGATTAATCAATGAATCAAAAGCGTTATTCGTGCAAATTGAAAAATAATTAAAAATTGATAGCCAAATATAAATTGTGGTTAATTATACTGACATGTCGACATCTCTGTAAAAAATGATCTTGAATTATATAAATGCATATAAAATATGTAAACATAAACGAAGAGGTGATTCCCAACGGGGATTCCTTACCTTACATTGAAATTGGCTGAGTTTTGGATTCTTAATTTAACAATAATGTTGATCATTTTCTTCTTTACGTGGCGTGTAGACTGAGGTTGTCTAAATAATTAACATTGGGATTATTTTCCTCACATTCAAAAGTAGATTATTCTTGCGTAATTCATGTATTTGAATGTTCACAATATAGAAATAATAATACATCTTGAAAGTTTTTCAATTTGTAAATACACAAATTCCGCCAACATATTTCTATATAAAAAATGCAAAAAAAATCCATTAAAATCTCAAAAATTCGCATAATTACCATGCATTCGAAAGTGAAATGTCCGTCAGTGTCAAGGGTTGTTTGTGTTGCAGCGCCAGACACCCCGCGCCTGGGAGGGTGGACGCCGTCTCATTGTGGCTCCTGCACCCCCAGCGACAGCATCATCTCAACGTGAGTTGTTGCGCGAGGCAACGAGAATAATTTATTCAAATCGTGGAAGGAAATCAGAGAAATTGTGGCAATATTGGGCTCTTTCAAGCTTAGATCCTATAAGGCGTTCTGTCTCCCCCTTTCTCTCTTTACTCTCTCACCTCGACTCTCTCCCTTTCCTGCTTCTCCTCTCGCCCGCTCTCTCTTCCCCCCCTCTCTCTCTCCCCCTCTCTCCCTCCCTCTCTCTCCTCTCCTCTCTTTTCTCCCCCTCTCTTTATCACTCTCTTCTAGCTGACGAGTATGTGAAACTTCTCATCTTTAATGCTTTTATGTACACCACTGGCTCGAATTTGTAAAATTAACTTAATAACTCATTTCAACATTTGAAAATAGAATGGTTTAAATTTCTCCCCTCCTTAATTTTGGATATACCAAGGACTGCCACAAAGTCTTCCAAAGTCGCTAAAGTCACTTTTTAAACAACTTGATTAAATATTTTAATATTGACAGTTCATTTTTATTAAAAATGACACTGTGTTGAAATATTTGTTATAGATAATTTGGGCCGGTCACACAGCATTGTTAGCTTACACCACTTACATTGTGAAACTAACAATTAACGCGCTCCTGAACATGTTCAAATTGGCGATGCTGCCGAAACTGAAATAAAAATAATTGAGAACTGAACATTTACCTCTCTTTATCACATGAATATACAAAATCATTGTGTTGCTTGTAAATATTTTATTACTAAATCTTCTATGCAAATAACAAAATTACTATAACATTTGCAAGCTTCGTCCAGTTCAACAGCAAAAACCTGCGAGTTTGAAAATTATAGTAGAAGTTGCAATGATCTTAATACTCAATATACTAGATGTGGTTTTTTTTTTGCAACTGGGAAAAGACAATTGTTAAATATGAACTGTATAGATGTCTATAATCGAAGATTTTTCGACATTTGCTATCCTCCTGGAGGTCCATGTTATCATTTTGTATTGAAAATCGTCAAGACTTTATTAATACTTTCCCAAGTGAAGTGAATCGTGGATTTTACGATTATAGTAACGTTCTTGCACAATGAAAAAAACTCTGAATGCTTATTTATCCGTTGAAACTGGACTACTCAATAAATTTAATAACAAACCCACATTTAATAACGTAAATGGAATTTCGTTATCATTAAAACCTTTACTTAAAAAACTAGCGATGAAAGACCGAATTGGCTGAGAAGAAACAAGACTGTTTTCTTGCACCTAATGTCAAAACCCAAAAACAAGATTTGTACGAGGTATTTATCGCAACATTGTACCTAAATAATAAATTATTTTATATTTTGTGTCTGTTCATTTTTTCGCTTCAATTTACACTACTTTCCCCATCTAATCCAGCAAATTTCATGACAAAATATATACTGAATTTAAAAAATGTTAAATGAATATAATTATCATAAATAATACCGTAGAATTTGATGAATTTTACCATTGCGGCAGCTTTGAGGATTATAAATGGTCATCTATTTTCTTTGTAATAGTCACTAAAGTCAACTTGCAATCGTGTGGCATCCCTGGTCCGTCTCCTTGGACCAACTCACCAATGGCTTCCCGCCAACGTCGTTCGGTGGCTGAGCCAATGTGAAAGAAAATGTTTGAATGAACATCAAGGATTGAAGACAGAGAAGGGTAGAAAGTGTGTATCCCGCCCCGTGCTCTTATCCGCCCTCCCTGTTGCTTCGCAGGCAGCCGAGCAGCCCGTCGAGGCGCCGGTCCCGTTCGCACAGCAGGTGAGCCCGGAGCCCCCCTGCGTATGGACCTGCGTCGGGCAAACATTGCTCGCTTCCGTCCGGGCTTCGCTCTTAGCCCTGCATCAACAGCGCTGCTGCGTCCGTGGGTCAACAGCGCAACAGCGCTGCTGCTTACGTGGGTGCTTCTGAGCTGCTATGCAATGGAACTAAAGCACAATAAACTTTGATGGAATCTCTTTTAGTTGTTTTCATTTATGATCTACACGATTCTTTTATTTGTTAAAAATATTTTTTTGCAGAAACGCGTTGAACGTACAGAAACACAGCATTAATTTATTTTCATGGTTAAAGTAAAATAGTACTGGAAATAGTCACATAAAGTAATCGATTTGAATCCTTTTCTATCGTTGGTTTGCCGACTTATGTAGGTTTCTGAAGACAACTGAACAAGAGAGGCCCTCACGCAGTAAACATGCTTCCAAAACATCGATTTGATTTGAATCTTCGTGTACTGATTGTGATCCAAATTTCATGATAATCTGAGTCTGCTGCGTTCCTCATTGGATGGCAATGAAGGATTCCCATAATATTTCAAAGGGGAGGGGTTAATGTAGTTTGCCTGAACCCAAAACACAATTTTTATGTCTTAATAAAATTAAATGCGTTTAATTTTTTTAGTATTTTCTTTCTGAAATGCTGTTCGTTTTGGATTGATAGGACTGAACCCTTTTAGAACTTGATGCGGTGAATAAGTGGTAATATTTGTAATAAATTGTGTAAAAAAAACAAAAAAAATTATTGGAACTAGGAGAGGTAAGCCCCCCCCCCGATTCTCTCCCTGGGACATTCACTGCCTGAGGACAATAATGAACATAGCTGTTACCTATACGATTCTTAATAAATATAAAAAGCTGTTGCTTTAAAAAATTGAAGCAGTAGCACGATACAAGTGCATGATTGCGTATACAGCAATTTTAATTCGCAGAACTTAATCTCTTATCAGAAGCACATTGCGAGAAACATCTTTCTAATCTGTTTGTGATGGGTTCTATCGGTGTTTCCCCTCAAGTGTAAATGCACGTGAGGGAGTAAGACATTCAGGCTTGCCAACTTTTCAAAGTATTACAACGGAAGCCCATATTTTTGCAGCTTATATCTAAGTGTGCAGTTTTTGTATCACTTAGACATTTTTGTTTCTTCGCTATTATTGCGATTTTATATTACTTAACTACCTGATCTTGATTTTTGATTAATTCGAGATGCGATATGTTTCTTAAAGTTTGTCAGAACTGACATCTTATCAGGAGTGAGAATCTTATTTAATGCGATCGTGAGGAAAGTACAGTTATCCTGTTTTTTGATTGAAAGAAGATACTTCGCTCAATTGGTGACAGGAGAATTGGCTTCAGAGGTGAGTTGATCACAGATGGCTGCGACCATTGACATCGCGTTCGCATTTCATACCTTAAAAACCCTGCATTACACTTTTCTTCTTTATTTTCGTCAAGAATCATATTTCATTGTTTTTCCAATGTATTTTCTCCAACATATATTATGATCTTAAAAATAGACATTACTAATAATTCTAATTAAGATTTTAAAAATCTGTAGTAAGCTAAATTTGTAAGTGGGATACTTAACACTGAAAATTTAATTGGAATGTTGGATACATGTACTGCCTTTAAACTCTTTGCAACAGATAGACCATCAGATATATCACCGTAAACATCAGAAATGTTTTCGGAAAATTCAACATTAATGTTTTCTTAAAGACTGTCTTTATTTATATATTTTGCAGATGAGTTCCACAGACAACCGCGCTAACCAGAAGAATCCCAACCATTCTTCATCGGGGCCAGGTATATTATGTTTCAAATATGTTAACATGCACTAAACAGCACAACTTTGAATTTCAAGATTACTGCACAAATGTCTTAATAAATGGTCGCAAAACTGTCTCATTTGCAAGTGTTTAGTGACCGCGATAGTAACACTAACGTGGAAAGATGCGAAATATTTTAAAAAATTAATACGTGTTTTGTTTTTTAATTGAATTAGAAATTCCTTATTTTTACGAATTAAATTTGCCCTGAAGAAATTGGATAGTATGATGTAAGACATGTCAACTCTTTTATGTTTCAGGACAAGTGTCTGGCTATTCTGGAACAGGGACAAAAGCAGACCTAGACAACCATTCGAATCAGTTAAATCCTAACAATGAACGATGTATGTATATTATTTTGACTTTCCTGTATTTTCGCCAAGGAGCTATTCCTAGCTCCATGATTTTATGCTCACACACATACACACGCGCGCATTTACAATAACACATATTTTATACTTAATTATTTAAACGTGCAATGCTTTCTGAGGTTAAAAAATTATTTTTAATTTTAGAAAAAAGTATATCATTATGATTTCATTCACTTTCTCCGAATTATTTGCTGTCTAGTTTTTGCAATGTCGAATAATCTGTTGGGACAGGTGACTGAATAATAAATTGAAGGTTCTAGCCGGGATTGGATGTATGTAATTTGTAATATATGTAATACATATACATGTATGGGGCTCCAGGATAGTTGTTGCTGATTTGTATAAATCAGATTGACTACCATGAGGGTTAGTTTTGGAGGTCAGAGCTTAAGATTTCAGGATACCTCCAATGAAGAAAAAAATGGAACTTCTTTTTTTTTCTTTGAGAAAAAATATTTTCGAAAAATTGTACTTGACTTATTTATCTGCGAAGATCAGATTGTAGCTGTAAGAAGACGCCGAAAACATTTTCAATTTACAAAAATTAATAAGAATTCAACGAAAAATTTGGCGTTCGCCGTTTTTAAGCGTCTTTTGCTCCATCTTAGGAAACAATTTAATTCAAATATTTCTCCAATTAGTAGCCATCTTTTTTGAAAAATTGAACAAATTTTGATGTCTTTTGAAAGATATTCAACATGCTCAAGAATTTTAGTTCTGAAACTCTTGCAAATGTGCAGTTATGATATGAGATGTCATAACCCGCATTTTTTTTTAATTAAACAGTCTTATAATATTGCAAACCCTTTTCTAAGAATTCTACAATGTATCCCTCAAATGGTATGTTTGAATAATACCGTGCTCTGCTCTTTAAAAAGAGTAGTTGTTGAGTAACAACACTACTTGCCACGTAAAATAAGGCAAATTCAATTCAATTCAACACTAGGAGGAGGAAACGTTTCAGTATGACGCATGGTAATACACCGTGAACTCAATCAGGTATATCCTGTCAATGAGTGATGTAAGTTGTTCAAATTAAAGATTATCAAACGGTAGTCCTATGATGTTCAATAACAAATATATATATTTTTGTTTGTTTTGCAGTTGGTAATAAACAGGCAAACGTGAATAACCACGCCAACCAATTAAATTCTAACAATGAGAAAAGTACGTATATATATTGTATCTTTGTTTACACCGTAATTTATTGAATGAGAGAATTATTTACACGTCGTGAAGCGTAGTAACATTTATACTTCACCATTTCAATTTTTAATTTTTTGTTGCAGATCAAGGGTCGCAGAAATCATCTTAAACAGGTGAGTAAACAGTGAACCTGAGCGCATCCCGACAACTAAATTTGTGGACTCTCTTTGTGGCAATTTTTATCCGACTGACTGCTTAAACGTAAATGTGTGGCTAAGGACCTCGTACAAATGTTAGTTCGTTCTCCCCCAGCGCTCTAAAGACTTGTCCGCTTATGATCGAATAAAGGCAGAATTACTCTAGATTATTTTGGGTGTATTGTAAGCAATTAATCGTTAATTTCAGAAACAAAGTACAAATGACTATGAAGAAGTGACAGTTTCGAAAATTCCTCTATCGCAAAGATTCATGAGGAATCGCACAATACATTTTTTTTTTGTTTTGCCCTAAAGGGTAATCACTGAAGAGAATAAAATGATTTGTTCTACAAGAAACTTCGGATTTAAAATAGTGCAATAACTTGAACCAACCTCTTCTGAGGTTTATTGGCCTCGTCATTATATCTAAGTAATAAGTAGCTAATAGCTAATAATTCTTACTGTAATACACTTATGTGTAGCGGTGCTTTTCAAACTTTGTAGAAATGTTATATTTGCATATTCGTACATTTGCTTATTCTGTACTCGTCCATTGACCAAATCATGTAAATTGTTGTTAAAGTTGTAGTATTTATTTATGTTCCAGGTTACACGGGTAAAAGGCTTCAGATAAAAAAATGTAACCAGATACCTTAAGCGCAAAAAAATGGGAGATTTTTAACATAAAGTGAAGTAAAAAGTGTGCGTTGGTTGAAATAAAATAATTTTTGTAAAATAATCTCTTACTGTAAATTTATTCCCTGCTTCAAGTCAACCCTAGAAATCATGTCAACTAAATTTCCTCAATCCTGTTAAGATTATGTGGATTATGAAGAGTTCGTAGTCTCTCTACGTAGTCGTTTTCCGCATCCCAATTTCCATTTATTGTTTTCCTCCATTTCTTCTCTCTCTCTCTCTCTCTCTCTCTCTCTCTCTCTCTCTCTCTCTCTCTTTCTTTCTCTCTCTCTCTTTTTCTCTCTCTCTTTCTCTCCTCAGTGCCAATTTTATCTTTTTAATTGCAACTTCTACCCTACACACACTTCATACCTTTCCTGAAAACCTCGTAACCAAACGACGCTCGAGAGATTCGAATAAAATTATATTCTTCAATTTTTTAAACGTAGAAAGAGCACTTCTATAATACTATAAATTCGAATTATCCACTTAAGTAAAAATGTTTAAAAAAAGAAAAACATATTTTTTCGAAACAAGATTCGGACCGAATACTTTGTTCCTGGCAGCAACGCACTAACAGTCTCACTATTCTGTATTTTAATTAATTTATATTTATTTGACTGTTATAATTTGCTGTTTTATGTATTACTAGTTTTCTGAGTGATGTGGACACAACAGGTCTGTGAAACTTTGCTACATGTAATCCACATTACAATGGATGTATAAAAAAATGTATTGATATTCGATATCTTGTATCTTGGTGTACTTTTTGATAGGGGCACACTTGGAAATCAAATATTATTCACAGTACTTCTAGCTAACTGTAGAATCCACTAATTACATCAAATTCTCAAAACTTCTTAACCCCTGACGCTTCATGTAGCTTCTCTTCTATACCAATCAATGATTCGTCCAATCCTATCTTACGCTTCTTCTATCTGGGCCTCGACCAGCAAATCAAATACCCAAAAAATGCAGATTTTTCAAAATAAATTCCTCCGAACCATTATAAATGCTCCCTGGTTTGTATCTAACTCCCACAATACATCGTTACATAACGAACCCATATTTACGTAACGAACTCAGCGTCTCCCCGATCTGTGTTCATTTCTCCCTCCTATCCACTTGCTTTTATCCTAAAATTCTCCAGATTCCCTCAGCCGAATATTTCAAAATCGGAAAACAAAATCTTCACCACAACAGACTGGCGCGACAGTTCTTCGACCCCCCGCTCCCTCCCGATCATGTACCCGATTTGGCTTCGCACAATCCATCCACGTGTACACAATGAATCTGTGGATAATGTTTCCTAAACGAGGCTAATATAATGCAATGTACTCACAAGTATCGTACCCGGCTGCTGAGGGGCTTCGGGCCAAGCAGAAATGAATGGAAAAAAATTATATTCGATTGTTAATAATAAAATTAAATTCTAATTCTCATTTAGAAATATATGCTAATATCAGGTGTAAAATATGTGCTTTCAGCATCATTAATGTACCTAAATTCAACTTCTCAATAATAAACTGTTACACGAATACTTCAACCCGCAAAAACGTTTTAAACTCCAAAAATATATCAGTATTCAAGCACACGAACTGAGGTAATATAAGGTAATAAATGATTTAGCAAACGATTATTTCTCCGTGGAAGGACATTGAAGGAAACAAAAATAATTTTACATTTAAATTGAACATTCATAACTAAAGGCCATCTAATATATCGCTTTATGAATGCATTCAAAACTTCGGTATCATTTCATAATAGCCATCTAATGAATAACTGTGTATATGTGCGTATTGTTACAAAGAAAATTCAACACATTTTGTGTTCAGATTACTATATGGGAAACCATTTTGTGGTTTTGTTCAGCAGTAGCTTTGCTGCTGCAGACAGTTAGTAATATATTAGTTATCTATATAAATATCTATTCAATTCTTGTATTTTGAAATACACTGGCGGAAAAAAGTATTGCAACGCCGAGAAGGGCACGAGCAATCGAGTAGGCGATTAGGGGCGTTACGGTTCATAGAAACCGTGATTAACATTTGACGGATGGCTGACGCCCGGTGACGTAATGGCAGCGTGCCGAATTGTCCCGTTCGCGCCATCTACTCTGCGACTTTGAAAGGCGCCGTCCACAGCGATAAGGTCCAGTCGGGACTTAGGTATGCCACGGCGTTGCACTCTAGCAATTGGACCAGTTTCAGCGGGGTCGGATTGACTGTCTGCGCGTAGCCGAAAGGCCCTTTCGGCTCATTTGCTGACTACATGGGCACATGATGAGACGTCGATGCTGGCGACGATTGTAGACGAGCATTCCCATAGCCGTAGACCCACTTCGGGGCGACGGCGGAGCACTGACGAACGTCAAGATAGACGCATCGTGAGGGCGGCGTTCTCTGATCGTATGTTCACCTGCGCCGAGACACAGGCACATGTGGTCCCCAACGTGTCTCCGCACACCCTTTGGAACCATTTACTTGCTACAGGATTACAATCGCGGTTACTGCTAGCCCGACTGCCACTCACGCCGAACCATCGTCGGGCACGTCTGGCGAAGTGCAATGTGTGGGTCAGCTGGGAGACGGAATGGCGTGCAGTGGTGTTCGGTAATGAGAACCGCTTCTGCCTGCACGCCGGTCGTGTGTCGTGGTCGTGTGCGTGTGCGGCGTTGCACATGCGAGCGTCTGGTATGTGTTCGTCCACGACACGTAGGGGGAGCTGGGGGCACCCCGGGAGAGATGGAGTGGGGTGCCATTAGCTAAAACGCGCGTTTGTCTTTGGTGTTCGTGAAGGGATCGTTGACCAGCGCTGGTTACCTCCAGCAAGTTATGCAGCCTGTGCTGATAACTTTCCAGCAGAACAATGCCCACCCTCACACTGTCCGCGCTACGCAACACGCTCTCTACGATGTTCAACTGTCCTGTCTGGCATGCTCGCCGGATGTGTCCCCAATCGGGCACGAGTAGGACATGATAGGCCAACGCCTGACTTGTGCTGTGCCAACAAATCAGCGCGAGGCGGTGCAGGAGGCCTTGAACAGTGTACCGCAGAACACTATTCGCCACTTGTACGTTGAAAGGGGCTTGTCGTACTGCTCGCGGCAGGAACACGCAGTACAGATGTGGCATTTCCTGCCCATGGGTCTCTCTATTGCTGCTCGTGCGAGTCTCACATGGCTCTGCCCTAGTAATCATGTTTATTATTGCATGTATGTTCTGTATCTGTACGGAGGAATAAATTGTACAATGCAATCGGGGTGTTACTTTTTTCAGTCAGTCTTGATTCTGATTAAATGTACATATATTGAATATCATGAATAAGGTGACCAGACTACAGTCGACAGTATTGGCAGTCCCTTAGTTTGAGTCCCTGTCCCGTATTTTTTGACAGGGACGCTCCGGTGTCCCTTATTGTGACAATTTAACATTAACATGAAATGCCGTCAACAATACTAAATTTAGCATTATACATTCTATTTGCTTCGTATTTGTTTATAAAAAATTAAATACGGCAAGGTGTTGTGCTAATGTGCTCCGTAACAAGTGTGATTAGAGAGTCGATTGTAGTTTCGAGGAAGAGAAAATGCAGCTTTGGCGTCATTTCAACTTTTATTTGCTTCATCGGTAACGATATCGTTATGAAGAAATTAAATTATCCGATCCTTCTACTTCTGAGAGTTTTTGTGCGACTTAGTACGCAAACTCAATGGAGAAATACAGACCTAATTTGTAATGAATGAAAGTATAAATTAAGCAAATATAATTTTTTTTAATTTGTAATGTCCCTTTATAAGGAATTCTTTTGTTGGTGTGAATTGGATGCTACATAATTAAAGTTATTCGTATTTATCTATTTCGTGATTTAATTAAACTTAATTTACAAATCTAAATATTTGTGATAAAATTGTTTAACCCTAGATTACAGAGGCGATCGACCTGTACCAAGCATTAATACAAAGGCGTAGTCAGACAGTTTACTCGGGTAAATAAAAAAAACTCTTTTTACAATGAAATCCAAAATTAATGGATTGAACATGTATGATATCGAGTTACAAAATACATTTTAAAGGTTTAATAATTAAGGTTTTTGAAGGTTGTAGATGCATCTAAATGATTTGACTTTCACAGCAGACACTTGCTAGGTGTTGTCCACACATGGATTTTGAGAAGCGTCCCTCGAGGTACCTTGTCATACGTCCTTATTTAGATTTAGATTTATTTAGTCAAAAAGCAGTAAAAAAGCTGTATGTGGCGTATGGGGGAGAAATCATTTATGATTGCCATCCTCCCATTTTGATTGCTCAATGTTCAGAGCATAACTTAAATGCTTAAAAAGACAAGAAGTTTGTAATCATTATTTACAATATTAGCCAAAAGAGTGCAAAAAATATCACTGGCGTAACTACAAAGGCGTAGTCTACTGGACGACACGTGTTAAAATGGCGTATACTGGAAATTAGCACGCGCACAACATTATAAGTATTTCACAGGCAATTGTTGTCGCACAATGAAAGCACACATTTTCAGAAATGGGGTGTGAGGGTAAAGGGGTTGGGGAAAACTTTCAGCACTACTTCCGTCGTCTGACAGACGCAGTGATCTCGACATTATAGCTAGAGATCACTAGATAGACAACGCCTTTGTAATGTAGGGTTAACGTCCTCTTTTGACTCTTTTATCGCTGTGTAGATTACAATTTCCCGTTTTTAGTTTTTTCAAAGTGTGGTCACCTTACTGATGACGTAAAATTTGCGAAAGAACAAAATTAAAACGATGGTGCTATTATAACGCTCGTGGTGATTCATAATTTAGGTAAAATGTATCTTTGATCCCTCTGAATAAGTTGAAAATCACATTTTACAGGAGAGCAGTGTATTTTACCGTCCCGTAATTAATTAGACGTCTCTAGCTATCGTGAATAAGTAGACTACTCAATTTAGTGTATGCTAAACTTTTGTTAGAAGGGCGCGATCCCAATCTTTGAGGTGGTACTTTTTCTTTTGCTGAGTACTTTTTCTAAAGCG